GTTGGGGGGTGGTCATTTGTAAATCCATCTCACACACACAAGATTTTTTTTTCCTTTTCACACAAGTTTTTTAATTGTTCGCAGGAACCTGTAATATGTGAGTATGTCCACGTGCACTAGAAATAAACTCATTTTTAATCACTAATTTGAGATACCAAAAGAATCACTTACTGTTTTCTATTTGACTGGTTGTTTTTCTATGTGTACATATATCAGAAACTGGCAAACTATGGCCAAGTTCAGCCAACTACCTCGTATCGCATGGCCCACAAGCTAAGAATAATGTTTACATTGTTAAATGGTTGAAAAGCTAAAAGAATATTGTTTTGTGACGTATGAAAATTATATGAATATCACGCTTGTGTCCATAAATAACGTTTTATTGGCATACAGCCATGACCACACTCATTTGCATATTGTCTCTGGCTGCTTTTGAGCTACAAAAGCAGAGTTGAGTAGTTGCAAAAACAAACAAACAAACAAACAAAAAAACCATATGGCCCATAAAGCTGAAAATATTTACTAGCTAGCCCCATACAGAAAAAGTTTGCCACTCCACCCACCCTCCTTGAACTATATGGTTTATAAACTATGGTGACAAGTTTGGGATGCTCAGAAGTGTTTTGGAGGAGAAAGTCTTGGAGAAAGCCTTTCTTTAAAAGATTTTTTGGGGGCCAGCCCGGTGGTGCACTGGAGAGTGTGCCACTTGGGAGCGCGGCGGCCCTCCCACCGAGGGTTCGAATCCCATGTGGAGACCGGTTCCCGCTCACTGGCTGAGCGCGGTGCGGGTGCAACACCGAGGGTTGCGATCCCGTTACCGGTCAGTAAAAAAGACAAAAAGGAAAAAAAAAAGATTTTTTTGTAGCTAGCTGGTACGGGGATCCAAACCCTTGACCTTGGTGTTGCAACTCTGCTCTCTAATCAACTGAGTAGCCGGCCAGCCAGGAAAGCCTTTCTAACACAACTCTGATTCTATTCCTCAGCCCCTGACCTGTTTAATCAGAGTCTTTTTGATAGAACAGAAGAGAAAATATCCAAGTGTGTTCACACCAGGGAAAAGGAAGTATTGTTTTGTGAAATGGTTGTTTCTGTTTGATAAATATTTGAAAAGGTGGAACTGGGTGATGTTGATGTAAATCTCTTTTCTAATATGTGTTGTGACCAGGAAAGTTTGAGATCTGACGCTTTACAGTGTCTACAGGTTGCTCAATTTGCTTCATTGAGAGACAGGCTAAGGCTGGCCAGTGGCTCACTCAGGAAAGTGCGGTGCTGATAACACCAAGTCAAGGGTTAAGATCCCCTTACCAGTCATCTTTAAAAAAAAAAAAAGAAAGAGATAGACAGGCTAAAAGAGAGTCCAGTGGAGGAGCATTTTGCAGGAGAGTACGCAGCAAAACCAGGTCCCAGCCCATACTCGAGCCAGTCCCTCGCTCAGTGCTGTCTGTGGGGTCCCCCACCTGGGGTTGTCCCAGGGGCTGCTGGGGAATCCAGAGAGAAGGGTTCCAGAACCCCCAGCCCTCTTAGCCACTGGGGATCAGTGCATTCAGTCCCCTCCCATTTTCCAGGTGGGACTACTGAGGACCAGAAAGTGTATCTCTGGCCAAGGAAGTACAAAACCAGGAAGATTACAAGGAACCCTACAGTGTCACACTCCTGCCTCCCAGCTCTGGGAAGCCACCAGGTCAAAGGTAAGAAGGCCAGAGCAAACCAGCCCTCCTGGAACTGAGCCTCCTACCCTACCTTCCAGAAAAGTTTCCTGGACTCACTAAATTTAAATCCTGGCTCTGACTGCCACGGCGACCCTGAGCATATCCTTCGAACTCCCTGAACGCCTGTTTCCTCATCTGGAAAATGGGATAAAGTCTATATAATGTATATCGCATCCAATTTCCAATGTCATTGTGAAGATTAAATGAGATATTTCACGGAAAGTGTTTAGTATAATGACCGGTATACAGTAAGTGCTCAGTAAAGGCCAGTATTGGTATGATTGCATAGCTCACTGTTTACTGAGCACGGATAACGTGCAAGACATAGAGCTAAATTAGCCACTTCGTCTGCGTTAACCACCCTCCCAGGAGCTCCGGGAATGCAAGAGCCCCGCCTCCTGCCTCTCTGTGTCCCCAGCGCCCCGTGCAGGAGCAGCACCGCTACCGCTGCCTGTGCCTTTGACTGCTGCATCTGTCCAGCTTGGGTTAAATGCCGTTGTCATGTATGCATTCGCGATTTTTGAGCACTTCCAATGTAGTCCTGCAGCAGGGGCTGGGGGAAGGATGTCTGACCCTCCTGCTTTGCCCAGAACTGAGAGGTTTCCCAGGAGGCGAACCTTCCAGGGCTGACATCAGGATAGTCCGGGGCAAACCAGGACGAGCTGGTCACCCCTGGGCTTGGGGTGCAGCTGAGAACAAGACAGACACAGTCACCTCTTCCAGGAAGCCTTCCCTGATCCGCCCTCTCCCCCCGCTGGCTCAGGGACCTCCTCTGGGCCCCCACAGCTGCCTGTGCGCCCCCCCATGACAGCACCGTCACCCCGGGTTGCAAATGCCTGAGGTCATATCTGTTCTCCGCTCAAGGAACGCGGAGACCGACTCTTTTCCCGCCACTACTGCGTTTCCAAAACCTGCCGCGGAGCCCGGTGCCCAATACACGTAAATGAATGAAAGCTGCCACTCGTCGTCCGCAGATGAGAACCCTGGGGCTCAGACGTGCCAACCGCTCCAGCCAGATTCCCCAGCGAGGACGCGGAGGAGCCGGGACTTGAACCCGCGTCCCCCGCCGGCGCTGTCGCCCGGCCCTCACCGTGTTGTAGAACTCGGCCACCAGCTGCGAGTACTGGAAGTTAGTCTCGCACCAGTCCACCTCGGAGCTCTGGTAGGCGAAGATGCTGGGCATCCTGATGCAGGCACGGCCGCACTCTGGCTGCGCCCGGCAGACAGGAGCGAACGAGCCCGGGAGGGCCCGGCCCAGGCGAGGCGGGGAGAGGACGGCCGGGTGCCCCGCGGCCGCCGAGAGGAAAAACCTGCTGGGCCGCTCGGCGGTTGCGCCAGGGCAGCCTGGCTGTGCAGTGTCGACCGCCCAGGGCATAAGCCGTGAGGCTGGCACCACCCGGGCAGGGCGGGGGCGAGCGGGAGGAGGCTCCTGTCCCGGCTCACTGGGAGGAGTTGGGGCGGGGTGGGGGGCTGTTTTTAGGACAGTAATAAAAAAAATGAGTACCAAGCTGTCCCCATTTTACAGATGAGCAAACTGAGGCACAGAGAGCAAAGTCCCTTGCTGGTGGGTACACGGGTCGTAAAGCCGGGCTAATTCCAGGTTCAGGCTCTTCCCATTAGGTTTTGCTGCCTCTGCCCCATCCAAAGTCCCACGCTCTGCTTCCCATATCAGGGGTAGCAGCTGAATGTCCACCCCAATGGGCTAGCACGGCTCCCTCGGATCGTTGGCTGTGAAACCTTGCCCGATCATGTCACTTTTAGGGACATGTCATCCTGTTTGTGCCATGGAAAGTTGGGCTGGATCGAAGCCATTTCTCTTGGGTGGTCAAGATCTTACATACTCAGAGTGTCCTGTCTTCCACCAGCAGCTACCTTCAAAGCCTCTGTGAGGGAAGGGAGCTGTGCAGTTTCAGATCTGCAATCCCCAGTCCTGGCTTCCACGGGCTGTGGAAAGCTCTGAGTCAGATAGGCCTGGGTTTGAATTCTTAGTTCTTTTACTTCCTAAGCTATGCAACCTTGGGCAAGTGAATTCACTTGTCTGATCCTCAGTTAGTTCACCTGTAATTTGAGGATGAGGGTGATAGATCCAGCTGGTACAAAGGCAGCCAGTGGTACAGCAGGGCAAGGACTTAGCTCACTGCCTGGGCTAGAGTAGGCTCTTGATACATGATGATGGGTTGCTGCTTTTTTTTTTTTTTTTTAATCGTGGCTGACCTTGAACATTAAGGCAACCTCGTGGGAATGATAATGACTTCTTCCTTCCTTCACTTCTTCCTTCCTTCCTTCCTTCCTTCCTTCCTTCCTTCCTTCCCTCCCTCCTTCCTTCCTTCCTTCCTTTCTCGGCTGGCCACTATACGGATCAAACCCTGGACCTTGGTGTTAGCAGCACCACGCTCTAACCACTGGGATAACTGGCCAGCCTGGAATAATAATAATAATGACACACTTTTACCAACTGCTTACCAGTGGCAGACTCTTTTCTAAGTGCTCAGCGTTCAGTATTATCTCATTTAATATTCCTAACAGACCTAAGAGAGGGGAACTATTGCTATCTCCAGGTTGCCATCAATAAAACTGAAGCCCAGAGAAGTTAAAGAATTTCCTTTAGGCCACATGACTAGCAAGTGATAGAGTGGGACAAGCCATGTCACCCCTCCTTGACTCTTTTTTTATTTCTAGGAGGCTGGCTGGTGCAGGGAACCGAACCCTCGACCTCCAGTGTTGCAACACTGTGTTGTAACCAACTGAGCGATCCAGCCAGCCCTAGGTCAGCTCTCTGAGCCTTAGTTTCCTCACCTGTTAGATGAAAATAATACTAGTACCTCCCTCTCAGGGCTGTTATGGACCACGTGTGGACACACGGACCGGCATTCAAAATCATTGAACGGTGCGGCAAAGTAATCTACTCTTTTTTCAACTCTCAGTAGTTGGAGGAAAGGGGCGAAATTAGTGCTAATAAGTTTTACGCCTCTTAACACATAATCCCTTTGTTTGATAAAAAGTCCTTCATCAGGCAACCAGCTAGAATGTAGCGACATCATTTGTCTACATTGTATTTATTTTCAAATAAGCTTATCTTCCTGGCAGGTCCCATCACTTTCTATTCACTGCAGGGTTACAAAGTTTCTTTTTTAAAATAAAAAAATTTTTCTAAGTAACAGACTTTATTTTTATTGCAGTTTTAGGTTTACAGAGAAATTGAGCAGAAATTACAGATAGTTCCCCTGCCCTCCCCCCACCCACAGTTTCTCCTGTTATTGACATCTTACGTCAGCACATTTGTTACAATTATGAACCGATACTGATCTATTATTATAACTCAGTTTTACATTAGAGTTCCTTCTTTGTGTTGCACTATTCTATAGGTTTTGCCAAATGTATAATGTCATGTATCCAGCATGACAGTATCATACAGAATAGTTTCACTGCCCTAGAAATCCTCTGTGCTCCACCTGCTCATCCCTCTCTCCACTTTCCTCCTCTCTTAAAAATAATTTTTAAAAAAATTTTGGTGGCTGGCGAGTACGGGGATCTGAATCCTTGACCCTGGTGTTATGAGCACCATGCTCTGCCTACTGAGCAACGAGCCAGCCTAAAATAAATGTATTTAAGCTTTATAATTGTGGTGGTGGTTGCACAAATCTACACATGTAATAGGATTGCATAGACATACAAGGACACACACACGACTGCCTGTAAAAGCTGTCGAAATATGAATAGGGTCTGCAGATCACGTCAGTGTCAACTTCCTGGTTTTGAACTTGTATCATTATGTAAGATCTACCACCCCGGGGGAACTGGGTAACGGGTCCAGGGGACTGCCCTCCAGAATTATTTCAACTTCCTGCGAGTCTATAATTATTCAAAAATAAACAGTTTTTTAAAAAGTAATTGATTTAGGCTTGTAATCAACACATGAGTGGATAAACACACGTGGTCCATCCATACAATGGAATATGATTCAGCCATGAAAAGGAAGGAAATCCTGACATGCGCTACCACGTGAATGAACCGTAAGGACATTGTGCTCAGTGACATAAGCCAGTCACACAAGGACAAGCACTGTGTGATTCCACTCATAGGAGGTCCCTAGAGTCGTCAGATCCACAGAGACAGAAAGTAGAATGGGGGGTGCCAGGGTCTGGGGAGGGGGATGGGGAGTGAGTGTTTCATGGGGACAGGGTTTCAGTTTGTGAAGATGAGAAAGTTCTGGAGATGACGGTGGTGGTGGCTGCACAACCACGTGAATGTGCTTCATGCCGCTGAGCTGTGCACTTAAAAAACCGTTAAAACAGTAACTTTTATATCCTGTATATTTAACCACAATTAAAAAAGCAATTGATGTAGGCTTTCTTAAAGGGAGCTTATTTGACAAAATATCTTCAGTAAATAAGACTTCGGGTGGGAAGTGAATACCAGAAAATCCTGAGGTTGGTCCGTGAAGGTCAAAAACTTAGGAACTATTGAGGTCACACATGTCAATGGCTCGATCCAGAGCCAGAGCTAAATGAAAGCAGGCTCACGCTGCTGCTGCCGCCACTGTTCTAATCTACTAGGTGTCAAATGCTTGCATGTCACACTTTGCCAGGTACCCAGAGAGCGACCTTGCCTTTGACATCCTCAGGAGACATAGGAAGAGGGTCAAATGTGGAAATGAGGGAGGAAGTTAGCGTAAAGAGCATGAACTAAGCTCAGATAGACTCTCCATCCCTCCAGGGCAGCCACCCGCTCTCCCCCATTTAGCCACAGCCCTGGCCCTCAAATCCCCTCCCCAGGTGGGCCAGGAGGACAGACACACATCACTAGTGCCACCCCCGCCTCTCCCAGCCCTGCTGAGAGCAGCAAGCCCGACTCCTTCCCTGGGGAGTGACCTTGGAGCAGTCCCAGCCCCATGTGGGGTTATGGCAGATATTCGCTGATGTCTCAGATCTGGGGCAGGGCACAGCTGCTGGGATCTGGCTCTCCCGTGTCTTGGCAAAGGGTTCAGCAGCAAGAAGCAAGGTGGTGGCAGGTGCCCACGCCCAGCCTGGCCTGGAGAGCTTGGGAAGTTGCCCTGCACAGAGCTGACTAGGGAAAGCAGGGCAGCCAGACAGATGTGTGTGTGTGTGGGGGGGGGTGTTCAGGCAGAGTTCTTCCTCTGCCAGGGAGGTGGAGGGAGGCTGGAGAGAGGGCATGAAGGGCCAGGGCCTGGGAGGACATGTGTAGGAGCTCCCTGCAGCTGCCGTAACAAATGGCCATGAACTTAGTTGTTAGACCAATACATATTTACTATCTTACAGTTCTAGAGGTCAGGAGTCTGGAATGAGTCTTACGGGCTCAAGGTGTCAGCAGGGCTGTGTTCGTGTGTGTGTGGGGGGGGGGGTGTTCAGGCAGAGTTCTTCCTCTGCCAGGGAGGTGGAGGGAGGCTGGAGAGAGGGCATGAAGGGCCAGGGCCTGGGAGGACATGTGTAGGAGCTCCCTGCAGCTGCCGTAACAAATGGCCATGAACTTAGTTGTTAGACCAATACATATTTACTATCTTACAGTTCTAGAGGTCAGGAGTCTGGAATGAGTCTTACGGGCTCAAGGTGTCAGCAGGGCTGTGTTCCTCATGGAGGGTCCAGGGGAGAAGCCCTTTCTTTGCCTTTCGCAGCTTCTAGAGGCCACCTGCAGCCCTAAGCTTGTGGCCCCTCCCTCCATCTCCAAGGTGCATCATTCCAACCTCTGTTTCTGCCTCCTATCTCCTTTTCTCTATAACTTTGACCTTCTTATAAGGACCCTTGTGATGACATTGAGCCCATGAGAACAATCCAGAATAACCTCCCCATCTCAAAATCCTAAATTCAATCACACTTGCCAAGTCTCTTTTACCATGTAAGGTAACATATTCACAAGCGTCAGTAATTAGGACATGGACATTTTGGAGCCCCGCTTTTCTGTCTGCCACAAGGAGGAAGGAGGTGTGTCTGGGGATAGTGGGGTTGGAGGCTGGGAGTGGGGGTGAAGTAGGTCGGGGTTCAGATACACTGAGGATGGAATTGGGGATGAGGACGGATATAGGCTTGGAAATGGTGATGGCCACAAGGATGAGGCTGAGGCTGGAAATAGGGTTAGGATTGAGGTTGGGGTGGGATATGGGAATGGAGAAAAATGGCTTTGGATTTGTGGGTGGGGGTGGGGCTGGAGTTGAGAACAGGGTTGGGGATGGGATTGGGGACCCGGATCCCATTGGGAGTGGAACTAGGGGTGGGATCCAATCCATGATGGACAAGGACATCC